GCGGTAATGTGGTTTGCTCCTCTAGTGTTGTATAACTCAATGCGTCTTGGTATCTGTAAAGTGCTTTAACGTAATTATTTAACAGGGAGTTGTCAGTACGTCTGTGTTTACCAACTAATGAAAAAAAAGATCACAAATATGCGAAAAAACATAGAATACACGATAGAATGGCTGTCAAACTTATTTTATACGAGGATAGGCGTCGCCGGGAACACACATATGAGCAATTACGTCGTATTATCACCACCTTAATCACTACTACAAACCCGATTCGCTGTGTTGACAGACGGATTTTAACACATATTTATTCGTAAATAGCGTGCAATTTGGCATTTTCTAAATAATTTGCATGCGAAATTTGGAAACGATTGTAACGTCAAAACACATCTCGTGTTAACATTTATACGTGTAAATTGACGTGTTAGTGGCATTTTAGTGGCTACACGGGCTCCGCCCACTCCCTCGTTTTATTATATATGTATTATATATTCTACGCGAAAAAAATCATTACGTTAAGGTATATTCTCTAAATAAACTTTCTCCCAGTACAATCCATCACTCCATCTCCATTCGAATCTTACGATTAACTTCATAAAATTATAGCGGCAAAGGTGCTATCAGTTTTTTCTACGTGGTAGTATGCTGCCATTATAGTGTTGACCTTTTTTACCGTCTGGAAGAAAATAGGGCGTAGCATGTGAACGGAGTAAAAACTCGGAGTAAGTACTGATATTTTACAAAAAATGAAAACAAAAATTTTGAATTAAATCAATAAATGAATTAAAATCTATCGAAATTAAAATCATATCCACCCTAGCCTGTGACCCTGCGAAGTGACAAGGTCAAACATGCCTACTAAATTTATTTTTTTATTGCTGTTCGTGAAGTAGGGTACCTATTTCGAAAAATTTTAATTAGTTTGAATTTCGATAGATTTTAATTAATTTATTTATTTAATTCAAAATTTTTGTTTTTATTTTTTGTAAAATATCAATGCCGTTGCTCCGTTCACATGTTACACCTTATTTTTTCCCAGACGTTAGGTCATCCATATAGTTATAGCACTATTGGGTTAGTTCGACCGGGTAAGGACCACGCCCTCAGTAAAATAGCAGCTTAATGCTGCTATATTTCTTATGATGATTATTTAGAACCGATTGTATACTTTTTACTGGAAACGAGGTATTCCTTCTTAGTCCTCAGCCATGACAACGCATTTGTATTAGGATTGATATATTACGTAAATGTCTATGGGCCTTCTAATTAAGAAAGTAAGTGGCTTCTTAAAGCACATGTTTTGTGTTTAACCTGCCAACAAATTTAAACATAGTAGCCTAAAGCACAGAATAAATAATAGTACTACGTATATTGCGGTCACATTAACTTGACGCATCGCTGGAATGCGAGGCCCAGGCCGCTAGCCCCCGCACTCCCTTAGCTCGCACGGCAATCGTCAGTATGGTTAGCATTCTGTTACACTGTTGTAAATGACGTCATCAAAGCCATGCGTCAAGTTAATGTGACCGCGTTGTACAGAAGTTGTACTCCTTTGATGTCAACTGCTTGCCGACGTTTTATAGCCTACATAATTATTATTAATCAGATAAATCGCGCACGCAAGCTAAATAAAACTTTATCGCTGCGCGTTAGTGTCCATATTACTTTGCATCTTTTCCGATTCCTAAGTCACGGCAGACTTTCCGTGGTTATCAAGGGATGTCAATAGAAAATAAAAAAATACATTGCGAAATTTTAATTATGTTACTTAGGTGAAGTACCTATTCTGACTATGATCGACTGACCATACTTTCGCCCCTATGTGAGTTCTGCGATGCCTAACGCATGCAAATTGCAAGGTCATTCGTCGGGAATCGCAACGCTTGGTTCGGAAGAAATAGGTGGATAGTGTAAACAACAAATAAACGTGAAATACGATTCCTTACAGAAATGTGATCTATTCTACTTACTTAAAAATCTTCTTAGTATACAAACGTTTTAATTTCAGTATTTTGTGTTATTATAACTTAAAATATTTTAATTACAAAATACAAGTATAGGTATGTATGTAAGTAAATACTTGGATAGTGAAGTAAATTTTAAGTAATTTTTGTAATAAAGTACTTAGGTATTTCTTCTGTAGACCAAATTATTACTGTAATATGTATAATTCTTTTTTGCTGTAAGTACCTATCTAACAAAAAAATATAAATTCACCTTTCATAATTTCCTTCTAAAATTCTTCGGTAACTTAAAAATGATAAGAAACCTGTTGTTGGTCATTACATTTAGTATCCATCCACGCAATAATTATAGTAGGAACGACGTTTTGCTATTATAATTTATCAAATAGGTAATATACATAATATATAATTTTTAAAATACATTAAAACTTTTACAACTATTTTTACCTACAATTAAATATACTAAACACTAAACAAAAACTATTTCAACTAGTATTTACATAAAACTATTTACGTAAACAGCGTTAAAAATTTTAAGTTTATTAAAAAAATATATAAGTGGGCAACATAAAATCATCTTCAGAACACGTGCCATAAGAAATGTTTACTGCTCGTGCTAAGCGTTAAAGAAAAATATCCGAGCAATAAAATAATATATTTAGATGATAGAAATCCCACCAACGTACATTGGAGATTGGAGCACTGTTACAGCACCGTGGGTCACTTTTCCAGGGCATTACCTTCTGAATAATGAGAGGTCTGTGTCTTTATTGAAATTGAACTATAAGGTCGGGGAAAAAGTTTCTTTGTATTTCATATACAAATTTAAGACATTGTTTTTCAAAGTTTAATTACATTTTATTATAATTTAAATCTGTCCCACTTCGTTCGATAACTTGTTGCCATCTTGTAAGTAGTGATATAATTCCGTTGCTGTGGAAATCTTGGGATTTTTGATTTAAAAAAAATGCGACAAGTAGTTTTGAAAGTCCTCTCTTGATGTTAACTTAACACTACCCAAAAAATTCTGAAGAGTCCGACACAGGTGGAAATCCGAAGGTGCAAGGTCAGGACTATGTGGTAGATACATTAACACTTTCCAACCAAGCTCTCTCAATTTTTGCTGAGTGGCCTAAGAACTGTGGGGTCTGGCGTTATCATGATGAAAAACCACTCCTTTTCTGTTGATCTATTCCGGCAGGTTTTTTTTCAATTTCTTGCTTGAGTCTCGAGTCTCATTAGTTTTTAGCAGTAGAGATCTGAATAGATGGTTTTGCCCGGCGGTAAAAGTTCACAATAAACGATGCCCTTCCAATCCCACCATACACACCTTAATCCTTAATGCGTGTTAATCCGGGTTTCGCTACAGTCTGTGAAACTTGACTACCCTTTGACCACGAGCTTTTTCGCAAGTTCTTGTCGTAAGTGATACACTTTTGATCACCAGTGATCAATATTTTTTTAAATGGTTCGGTTTCATTACGTTTCAATAGAGAATCGCAAATAAGTTCATTAGTTTTCAGTGAGCTCGTTAGGTACCCAAATATCGAGCTTTTTTGTATAGCCAGACTTTTTAAAATTGTTGTGAACTAGTTTGTGGTCAAGCCTCAATTCTTCGGCTATATCGTAACTATCTAATACGCCGATCTTGCTCCACATTTTCAAAAATGGCATCGACTTAATCCGTAAGACCAGAGCGAGTTGCAGTTTTGACATCAACATTCCCGGATTGAAAACTGTTACTTACGTTACATTAGGTCCTTAAACGTCACAAATTTTTTCCGCGGCTTGAGTCGATTTCCCTTTTGTGTTTTTATTTTTTATTTTTCTTATCCTTAATGTCCTATATGTATTGATATTAAAACCAGCCATATACAAACAGTACAAACAAAGAGATTTTTCTTTAATTTTATACAAACAAAATACGAAGAAACTTTTGAAACCTGAACTATTTATACAAGCATCGACAATATACTCCCGGCGGTCATAAAAAAAAGTTATACAAGCATGCATACAAGCATGCTGGTTAAACAGGGAGGGATTCACTAATTTCACTTTAATTTTAATGCAATATTATAAAAATCTTGTTTGGTTTTAAATAAAGTCATGTTGTTTGCCTGGTATGCCGTGCTAACTCCGGGTCTATAGGCAAGCGGACTAATTGCTCTACTAATAATCCTTTCACAATGTGAGGTGGCCTTTATCGAGCAGTAGGACGTAATATAGGCTGTAACTTTCACCTAAATAATAAAAAGAGGGATAGATGGAGTCTATATTTATTTTAAAATCTTAAGCTAAATTACGCTCATATTAATAATAATAATCCAACAACCAAAAAATATTTCATCAGGTAAGCCGTTTGCCTCCTCTTCCATTAAAAAGAAACTCATTAAATACTTCTTGCGAAACCGTATTAAAATATTAATCATAAATCTCTAATCAAGATGTTGAGAAAAACTGTCAGTACAATGGTTGGTTGATCTATTATAATAGTAAGCTGTGCGATTGTTCGCGACCATAGAATACTATAATACACAATATATTATAGTATTCTGTTTGCTATTACATTATCAACTTAAACAAAGTATGGGATGGGATACATTTCAACTCTACGTAGAGCATTGACCGACCTGCTAAATGCAAATGACGATCCCGCGTTTCCGCGGGTATGGCTACTATAATATATAATTTATTTATGACTAGCATTCACCCGCGACTTCGTCTCTTAGTAATCTTTGAGCAAGTAGTTCAATAATCGAAAAACCACTTTAAACTCAGTTCTTTATAAAACTAAGTGTGATAAGGCTAAATGACTCCAAATAAAACTTAAAGACCCCATTAATTTCACCTAAAACAGGTCTTATCACCATATCCTTTAACATTTGTCGGTTTTGTTGTAACATAAAATGATGTTAAAGTAAAAAAAAGTTAAAAATCGATTTGCACTTTTACAAAACTTAAAGAGATAAAATAAAAAGTTAAATTGCAAACCAAAAAAGTTTTGTTCTTAAGAAGAGGAAGGTAAAAATAGATAAATACCTATCACATAGCAAGTTCCTTCTCTCGTCCGATCTGTGAGGGTTCAGCCTCTTGTGCGCTTCACGCTGCACCTTCGCGAGGTATACCTTTAACAGAAACGTTATCGTTGTTAATCATCGCGAGCACCTGCAACATAACATCGTTATTGATTGACAGCATCCTATAAGCACGAGATCTATCCTATCGAATCCGTAACGCCGACGAAAGTTTTTGTTAGACAAAACATAGTTCCAGCGCCCGTCAGCGGCGTAACTGGAACTATCTTCTGATTCTGATCTCATACTCTACCATTCGTACTGGAACACAGTATGAAACAGATGTAGGAACTCCTAGGAAAAAAATAGTATTACTACGTAATGGTTGGTGACTACCCCCCAAAGTCAATGAGATATGAGTTAGGGATTATTGGCTGATTTTTTTATAGCATTGGGTGACAAACGAGCAAACAGTCCACCTGATGGTAAGTGAATGATATGGCCCATAGACATCCACATCTATCTTCAACTAAAGATCAAAATGCAAATGCGTTGTCACCCTTAAGAACTAAGTTGGAATGCCTCAATTCTAGTAAAAAGAGTCACCCGTTTTCTACACTCACCGTACAGAACATAGCAGCATTACGCTGCTATTTTACGCTGGAATTCTGTGAGAACGTGGTCTTCCCCTGGTCGAGCCGATCCGTTCATGCTAAAATTATAATATCGCTAAAACGGCTGGTTACGTAAACGGTAGTATAGTATAGTAGTATGGTAGTAACGTAAACGGCTGGAGCGTGGCTCTACCACGTAAAAAACCGGTTACCAGCAGACGGTAATTAGAGCCACAATAACATGCACTAGAATACATAGAATACTATAATACACAATAGAATGGCTGTCAACTTTATTTTGTACGAGGTTTGGCGTCGCCAAACCCGATTCGCTGTGTTGACAGACTGAATAAATTTACACATTTTAAACTTTTGATTAATGTTCAAGATCATCATTAAATTTTAATACATATTTCTTTGTAAATAGGGTGCAATTTGGCATTTTCTAAATAATTTGCATAGGAAATTTGGAAACGATTGTAACGTCAAAACACATCGAATTGACGTGTTACATTTCAGTGGCTACGCGGGCTCCGCCCATTCCCCCGTTCTATTATGTAAATATATATTATAGTATTCTATGCTAGAATAGAATATGATAGTTTTTTATTCAATATAGATCACATGTAGTTCTTATTGAAAGTCATTTTTTACTTTACCACTGGTTCGGAAAAACACTTAACTGTTTGTTTTAAATAAATATTACAATATACATGGTTACAAACTATTTACAAAATTTATTTTAGGAACAGCTTGGTAGCGACAACACCTCATTCCCAGAGGTTATTATCGACCATGTAGTCATTTATATTATATTAACCCATTTTATACAGTTTTTGTTTAATTAAATATTTAAACTTAGTAAGACCTTGTATATTTATCGGGAATTCGTTGCAATAGCGTATACGTTGCCCCAAGAATGAATTAATGACTCTGTGGAGTCGCTGGTACCACCAGCTGGTATCACTTAGCTTGTGTTTGTATTCCTAGTGTTTACAGAGTGTATATCACTTTTTTACTATAAATACCTTTGTTTTTGTGAACATATATTAAATTTTCGTAAATATACTGAAAGGCCAAAGTAACTTCTAGAAGATATTCTATTTAGAAATATGGTTCGTATGAAGTCCCTGAAGCCTCTTCATCGTTACCATCGACCCGTAAAAGCCCAGGAGATTGGCTCTCCCGTCTTAAGGAAGATTAGCCTTAAAGTGATACCTCTAAAATTTAGTGGTTTTTCTATTAAACATATTTTTTTAAGTTTTATAGATTACAAACCAAAATGATGGTATTTTTGACTATATGACCTTGGATTGCATAAAAGGAAAACAGGATATTCATGTAATATTGTCGTTAGTTGTCGTTTATTGCAAAGTAGGCTCTAATTAGTTACATTTCTTCATGACACTACAATATTTTTTCAGATATATTAAGCGAAGTAGCAGGAGAAATAACAGAGTATTTGTCAGTAGACACAATTGTGGACACAGAACAGAGCACTTCATATCCCGTAGAGTTTCTAAATTCTCTAGAGTTGTCAGGTGTGCCCTCTAAGCTTCAATTAAAATTAGGCGTCCCAGTCATGCCAATGCGAAATTTAGATGCTCCTCGGTTATATAACCGGACATGACTGCGTGTGATACGTCTTGGACGGAACACAATCGGTGCTAAAATTTTGAGAGGAGTAGGAAAAGGTGAATATGTTATTATACCACGGATCCCTATAATTTCCACAGATCTTCCTTTTCAATTCAAAAGGTTGCAGTTCCCTATTAAGCTCAGTTTTACAATGACAATTAATAAAGCGCAAGGGCAAAGCGTTACAGATAGCGGGGGTCAACTTAGAAAAACCGTGCTTCTCTCATGGTCAGATGTATGTAGCGTGTTTGCGTGTGTCAAATGAATGGAAAAACATATAACATTGTGTACAGTAGCGTCTTAAAATAGTGTTCAGTTAGTTTTTTTTTTCCGAAATTCCCACAATAAATTAATCAGAATTCCCATTGATCTTCCCTTTCAATTCAAAATTTCCTATTTAGCTCAGTTTCTTTTCAATTCCAAATGCTGCACCTCTGACGGACCTATTAAACTCATTTTCCTTTCAACTCAAAAGACTGCATCTCTGAAGGATCTTTTATTTGGCTCAGTTTCCTTTCAATTCAGAAAACTGCATCTCTGACGAATCAATTTAGCTCAGTTTCTTTTCAAAAGTCTGCATCCCTGACGGGTAATTATGCTCAGTTTCCTTTAATTAAAAAAATATTCCATTTCCATTTGGAATAAACAGGCTATTTTCATGCTTTTCTATACGTTGCGTTTCAAAACATTTAAATAGGCTTACGAATCAATTTTGCTCAGTTTCCTTTTAATGGCTGCATCTCTGACAAATCTATAAAACTCAGTTTTCTTTTAATTAAAAAAGCAATGGATAGTTCATTTCCCAGTGACCATGCGGGCGAAGCTGCGGGTAACAGCTGGTACTTAAATAAAATGAAAAATGCTGTCTTGGGAATGTTATTTGATGAAAAAGTAGAAATAAGCAAGGCCTTTTGTACAACATGTTGTGAAGGTAAACAGTGTTGAAATTTTTACGAAGTTCATGGAATTAGTTTTAAGTAGAGATGCGCCGAGTAGCACTTTTGCAGAGTAACGAGTACCGAGTTTTACTCGGTTCAATTTTTTTCCAACCAACTACTCGGCCGAGTAACTCGATTCAATCAAATTCCTGTTTCGGGCGCGGTAAACAAGTACAAACAATAGAGTGCGATGATCCTAAAAGCCCCATTGTTTAAGAATTAGATCGCTATTTAAAGGAAAATTTGTTGGCAAAAGGCAGTCCTTTTGAGTGGCGAGCACTGAGCAGGGCACCAATGTATTTAGAGCTGGCACGTTTAGCACGAGTGTTTCTATGTGCACCCGCAAGCACCGTGCATAGCGAGCGATTATTTTCGGAGGCTGGTATCGTCTACGAAAAAAAAAAAAGGAATAGGCTGTCTCCAGAACGTGCAGAGAGCCTTGTGTCCCTGCATCATAATTTACTTTTATTAAATTTTAAATACTGATTTTTTTCATTAACCTTTTCCTAATTTTGTCTCATTACTACTCATTCAAACTCAAACAACTCAAAGATTTCCCATATTAACAACAAATACTTTTTGATTAAAACTGTTGTTATAATTATATCGATCTACCAAAATATATTGCTTTACTTAAACCGAGTATACTCGGCATTAGAACCGTGTTACTCGACCGAGTACAAGTATTAAAAAACACGCCGAGTAAGCCGAGTACCGAGTATTAACCGAGTACTCGGCCCATCTCTGGTTTTAAGGCATAGTAAATAATTATATCTAAGTTCTCATAAACCATTTTTTTTAAATACATAACGAAGTTTTTTTTTTTTAATAAAAAAGTTGTTTGGCGTTTATTTAGTTTTTTTTTCCCGATCGTGTGCTCGGTATAGCTATCTCATAATTTGCGTACTATGAAGTCATTGCATCACTTTCATTTGACACTCCCTCAGTCGTCCGTGAGCTTCACCGACAAAGGAATAAGCCACGTCCCCAAAACTACGATTCATTTTCAAGGTATGTATCCTCTAAATCTCGTACCGCATGTCTCCTAGAACACGTACGAATTAACTTGAGACTCCGCTTGAATGCGACCCCCTTCCCGACTCCCCGCACCGCGTCCCGCGCTGGCGTGTGCGCGCTCAGTACCGATATCATTTTTGTTACGGATACGCGTCTCGACTCTAATTCGATATTTTTGATTATTGTTTGTTGTTTGGTTTGGACTTTTGTTTGTTTTTGTTATACTTGAACGTTATTTTATCTGTTTGTTGTTAATTGCGTTGTTTTATTGTTAAATTTGGACGTTGTGTTGTGCCGTTTTCTTGTGACGCTTAGGAGTTACTCCGCCTTTTTTTATTTAAAAAAAATGGGAGGAAAGACAATACATAGCCAAGCACGGACACTTGCTCTAAAAGTTTTAAAATTTTTCGAAGATGAAAAATCAAATAAAAAGTTTCTTATTCCTGTGGACCAAGCTTTAAAGAGGGCTTGTGCAGCAACAGACATATCAAAGGCAACACTACTAAGAATGAAAAACGAGGCGAAAAAAAGTTCAGTCAATTTCTCAAGACCAAAATGATGATGTCACAGTAGTATCGGAACCATGTACTTACGAATTTTACTAAATTACGAATCTGTAACACTTTTTATAGTGCAATAAAGTGTATAATAAATAAATTAATAATATTATAAATGAGAAAGTGTGTATGTTTATTTCTTTGTCCTTCCTTGACGCGTTATCTAAAAATAATATTATATATATTACAAAAAATAAATATTTAAAATATATAAAAATGGCAACTGTATATCACTTATTACTTCACCCATTGCCAGAACATTCTATTTTGTTTTTATTAATAATCTCATGCAAATCTCAAAAATTTCAAATAAAAAAATATTACGACGCATTATTTTGCACACCGTACATTGACAATTACGTCATCGGCCCAGGTCTCAAGTTAATTCGTACGAGTTATAACTTTGACGCGACTACCCGTAGCTGATCTAGTTATATGTTACGTCTGGCGTAATTGACTTGAGATTGATTAATAGCGCTTTCTATCGGCCATTAAGTACATTAAGTACTTATAAGCCATTAAGTACTTCTGGATTTTCCCATAGTCACCTGTTACTACACCCACTTTACTTTTTTTGTCGTATTTACTGCCTTACGGACACGGACACGTACTCTAACCGCATAACACATACTCTAATAACTTATAAAAGAAAACTTAGAATATAGCAAAACGCACCTTGGAGCCTTCAAACAGAAAAGCAACAAAGAAAAGCACAATCCAGCTAAGGGCGAAGGCCCAGCGCGAGCTGACCTCCAGACCGGGGAACAGGAACTCGCCAAGGTCGTAGCCAAACCACATCCACATATGCATCATTGCGGAATGCGTTCATCGGACAACAACCTAAAACAAAAAAAAATATTAGTAACTTATCCATCATTTCAAGATAAAATAAAAACTGAACATAAAACTAAATTTATTTATGTATCTAGGAAACAAATAAAGTTAGCACCAAATATTGTTCTAAGAGAAAGGTGTGTCTATAAGGACAACTTAACTTTACATTAAATAAACAGAAAAAAAATCCCATTCATCTGTCTACATCACAGTCGATGCCTACTGCAAATGTGTAAGTTTGTTACTGAAAAATTTTTTTTATCACAAATGAATAATTTTCACACTTTTCCTCTTTACTTGCGCTGTGAGATCTTCTTGACAAAATTTCTAAATTCTAGGTCAAAGGGTACCCTAAAAGATTTGATTTTTATTTTTGTTTCAAAGTTTTGTTTTCCTTTTTTTTAGTTTAATTAATTCACATTACTAGGACCCACATAATACATTTGTACATAAATAATAACGGATATCTATATTATACATTATGATAAGACGGGTAAATGTTTACTATTAACAGTTAACACGAGTGAGTGTTACACATACGATAAAAGCAGATTAGCACAAGTGGATGTTGTAAAATTAAAAAAATTGTACAATCTACTTCAATATAACAACCTTGACAGAAATAGGCGTACTCCTTTAAAGGGTACAGACATGATGTTATGTTGTGTGATGGCGTAAACAATAACCGACAGCAGCAATTACAGTTGATCGTCTGTCTCCGAAACTCATCATCTGATCTTTACGCAATTAAAATGGGATCATTTCGGAATAAACCACTTTAGAACAAAAAAGAATTTTGCAAATCCTTCTATATATGATGGAGTGATGCCCGAAACATAAGTACGAATTTGTAAACATACGAATTGAACACCTCCTCTTTTGAAATCGATTAAAAATGTGAATGTAATTGATTCTGAAATGTAATCATGAATGATTGATTAATCTCGTATCAATTAAACCTATTGCAGCTCTTACTAAATTAAATCTTTCAACTCATTCGTCGCGTATTATCATAAACACAAGCGGAACAATAGTTGAGTTATTGTTTATTTAAGATAGACTGTTTCATTATATTGAATCATGGGCGCCTGATTATATGTATTTACATTTTGTATCTACTAATAATCTCTGATCTATTCCGGAGATAGACGCCAAGCACTATTATTAATTGATTAAATATTCCATACGTTTCAAGCTTTGTAACAGAATTGTTAAACTAAACAGAAATTGAGTAATAAATCAGATAACAACTCATATTTCAAAGAAGTGTGGTAAATGAGCACACAGTCTACCTGATGGTAGTGACGGCAGTGCTGTGTGTTGTGACCCAGACGCCTACAATCATCACAGAAAACATTTTTTTGAACTCTGTGATAATCCTACATAAAAGATACTTAAAATGCAGATCCGTTTCACCCCTGAGAAATAAGATTAAATATACTTTAAACCAGAAAGGTATTTCAATTTCATAAAAATGCTAGTATTATATAATAATTATACAATTACCCGTCACGAAAGTCTAGCGGTGACCGTTATTGCGCGTAAGTCGAAAATAAGGTATCATAGGGTAGTATGCGGGTCGCGGGGCGGGTTCGTTCGTACGCGCTGATTAGCCGCGAGTATTGTTCACACGCGCCGATTGGCTACTGCTACGGCTATTGGCGTAATGATACGACATGCGCAGCTATCCCCTCCACGTTTCGGTCAGCGCTAGACATACATTCCGCGAGTTATACCTTGCGTTGTTTCCCTTCTTTAAATATTTTGAACTTGACTTTGAGCGCACATTAAATTAGGGTAAAAGTTGCGATTAAAATATACTGCCAATGAAGATTAATCTCGGGTTGTTTATACACTACAAAATTAAAGTCCTGCTCCTGAGTTGCCGCGTCTGTTAGACGAACACTTAAAAGTTTAAAAACCTAGCGTATTTTGCGTCTGTAAAAGATATAATATAATGAAGGAAGGCTTAACTAATCCTAAATACCGAATAAATTTTACGTTATTAGTTTTTGAAGTTCCCAAATAGTACTACTAATCTCATATATTATAATACTCGACTCCACAGCGTCAACAATTCGTCCTTGGTGCAGTGTTTTTTTTTACAACAAAATCTCATAAAATATATACAAAATTTGTCATCCGCCAAGTTTAAAAACTTAATAAACAACATTTTGCGTTGTTTATAGTACAACATATTATATTGTTAACTGTTCTTATTGCAATAAGAAAATCTCCCGCTGGGTTTCTTGCTGGTGCTTCCCAGGATAGACAGGTATTTTCTGAACCCGTGGTAAATTAAAAATAACAGTGACTCGGTAGAAAATTAGAATATAAAATAATTGCAAATCGTGGTCAACATACGGCTAACAGTTCGGCCCACAGATCTCTTAACTCTTTAGTGCTTTATCCACCAGATGAGACGGAGGTAGAATCTACTTTGTTAAGTCTTAATAATGATTATGCTATTTGCTGGGATTCTATCTCTGCCGTGTTTCTTAAAATTATAAAAGATATAATTATATTACCGCTTACCAACAACCTCTTTGAAACTTGTTTTGAAAAAGGATGCTTTCTAAAGATGTTCAAGAGGTCTCTCATTACTCCTGTTTACAAGAGTGGAGCTCGGGACAGTGTCGATAACTACAGACAGATCTGTGCTGCCAACTCTTTCGAAGATATTGGAAAGGCTGTTGAATAACCGTTTGGTGAAATTCTTGACCAAATACAAATTTTTATCAAGCGCGCAATTCGGTTTCAGAACGGTTATTAGCACAGAAGACGCGCAATAAGTATTAAAAAAGAAAAGTGCCAAAACAAAAAAAAAAAAGAGAAAAAAAAAAAATATCCGTTTTTTATTGTCATGTTACAAGACAGGTCTTTTAGGGATAAGAGATAATTGAAATATGAAACTGACATGTTTACAGAATCTGATAAAAAAAATTGCACTACGTGTAAAACTAACAAAAAATTAAATTATATTGCTCAGTGGAGGAAACCACAAGATGCCTAAGAAGCTTTTTTTTAGGGTTACATACCTCAAAAGGAAAAAACGAAACCCATGTAGGATAACTTTGTTGTCGTTTCCCATATGCCTGTTTGCCAAGGCCCTTCTTCTGAGGAAAGGGTCTATGTAGCCTCATTTAGTCCTCACGCAGTAAAAGAAATTAAAAGATATGGTTATTTATGTCACATAATTTGAAACTCGCAAACACACTCATCAAAAGCTATAGAGATTCAGGCTGCAAGAAGCAAGGCCTCACAGCGCAAAAAGGGAAAATTACGAAAACCGTTGCTTAATACTTATTTGTATCACATATAAAAATATTTTTTTCGATAACAAGCTTAATTTTGCTGTTGGAGTGTCGACCGTGATGTAGACCTATTTATGGAAAATTGTTTTTTCCACTGCAAAGTAAAATTTGTCCTTCAATCCAAATTACCTTTTCGTAAGAGTTAATGTTCGGTGTAAACTTGTTCTAATTTATAAATTCCAGTTAGTTAATTAGATAGTTAAAATTAAGTACTTATCTAACTAATTACACCGTTATACGTACCTATTGTATATTAATGAATTTTATCTTAGTTAATTTACGGCCTTCTTGTACCGGTAACGAAAACAGACTAAAATCGTCAAGACTCCACATCTAAGTATATACATTACATAAAAATATAAGGTAAAGAACCTTATATTTTTAACCGAATTCAAAAAGGAGGAGGTTTTCAATTCGAGTGTATGCTCTTTATACTTTGTATGTATGTTACGATATATCAACGCAGATTGTGAACCGATTTTAATAATTCTTTTTTTGTTTACCGCAAGGGTGGTCCCATTAAATTTTAAATAAAAAATTTCGTCCCAAAATAGCGAAAAAACTTTAATTTGGACTATTGTTTAAGGAATTTCATATGATATCTTCGCAGATAAAGAATCGAGATTAATTATTATATTTTTCTTAAATAGGTTATACTTCAAGGGTTGTCTAAAAATTCCACCCGTAGCAGGTTACAAATAAATAACTTCTTTTTTATCAATTTAAAGTCGGTTTTTCATTTTTGTTAAAAGTTATAATTAATGAGGGAGTAGTCCCCCAACACCAGCGTGTAGTTAAGTTCTGCCAATCTGTCATCTGTTCCTTGAGGGAGGCCTATGTACAGTGGTGGACTTTTGAAGGGCTGTAATGTTGGTGATGATGATGATGAATCTGTCATCCATCAGGTGACAGCTACACTTAAGGGACGAAATAAGCGCGATCCTTAAAATCGCCGTTACGCGGTAAATGTCTGTATTTCTGTATATCTTATCAATTTAACAATAAGCAATTGAATTGATTAAGCTATAAATAGACTATAAAAGTGCTCCGTAGTTTTCCGATATTATGAAATTAAAAAGATAACCCACTTTTGACTGGGTGAGGTGCGATTGTATCTATTATAGACGCAATGACTTCAACGGAAACCCCCTCAGATCTGCGGTTGTCTTAATATCAAATAGTATTAAAATATTTTACCAATATCTTTTGATGATACTTTATGAAATTGTAATATTCTTTGTACATGCGTTTACATTTTGTTTAAGTAATGATTCAGGCATCGGCAGGAGAATTCAGTGACTTAAGGTGCGTTTAAAGGACGCGGGGTAGCACGATCTTACACGAGCCGAGCCGTCCGTAGAGATGCGGCTTGGCTAAATACGAACGCAAGCCTGCTTGCTCGTTTAAACGACGCGGGGCACGATCCTACGCGAGCCGAGCCGTCCGTGGAAATACGGTAGGGATGGGCAAGTGAAAAAAATATATCGATATATATCGTATCGGCATTTGAAAATAGTATCGATATATATCGACAGAAAAATATCGATATATCGATATATCGACATGTTTTGCATGATCATTCATACATAATATGTATTCCCAAAACATTCAATATACGGAAAAAAATACACACATGAAGAAAATAGTATATTTTTA